ATAATCTTTAATTTACCTAATCCCAGCAATGGCAGTGCTGAAATTCTTGATCTGACATCAAACTGTTGAACTGGACTGTACTTGAAATGCAAATAAATATGTTGCAAAGGTTAGGGGATATATCGGGCTTTGCTTTATATGATGTCAGATGTGTTGGCTTAAGTGTTGAGGGAATTAAGGGAGCTATATAGACCAATTAAAAGAATGTGTTATTGGGCGGTTTGAAACTAGTTCGATTTCATAAAACTTACCCAGACAGAGGCAACTTTAAAAAAATGTCTGCAGCAGGGCTTTTTTTAATTTGGTATATACAATCTCCGTGATCAGCATGAAAATAACCGTGAAATACTGAGAAATATATGTTTATTTAATTTTGGAGTGATTTTTTTTATTTTGACACATTTTGACTGGAACCCTGTCACTTCAAACGCAAGGACATTTTTCTAGCCATGTCCATCCACAATGAAAACAAACATATGCATCCTTCATTTTCAAATGTTGCTGAACTCCAATAAATAAATGAAGCTTCATCGACTAAAAATAACAGATGAGACAGCTGTCTTAATTTGGGGTCTTACTCTTAACTTGATCGTAAGCTCAAAACTGTTTTGAACGTTTTAACATAATAGTCACTAAAGGAATAAAGATTAAAAAGTTGATTAGGAATAAAGTAAAGAACGGTACTAAGAAGGCGTAAACGGACTATGTTATTCGCCTGCTTGCTGCTACAACAATAAACAGAGCTTTTGGCTATATCTTCGAGACCAGCGGGAGATGAAGTGTCTTCATCAAAATCAGTCTTTCATTATACCAGCAACCTGTCATCCCCGCCTTGGAGTACCTGGGAGTTCGCATCAACAACCTCCTCAGTAATATTGACCACGTAAATGCTCTGTTTAGAGAGGCCTAATAAACATTAGGGTTCATCTGGTAAGTACGGGGGCACTTTATCCAAATCACTCTTCTCACTCTTATACGGGTCACCAGTCATCTCTGTTTTGGAGTACGGACAACCGGCACATTGTCCTTACACCACTTCATTTGGCTCAAATTTTGAGCAATTTCAAAGAATGATACTCAAGCAGTGGATAGGGGAAATGAGCTATGAGGATATAGGCTGAAAACACTTCACTGATGAGCCTGAACATAAGAGGATATATATAGACCTGGTTAATTTCACCATTAAATTTGGAACGAAAACCAACTACATCTGTAAACACTAGGCACCAGGACACTTTACAGTTTCATCATCATAACGCCCGGAATTTAAGTCTGAAGAGCTCACCTGAAATATACCTGAACGTATGAGGAATTATCTTTTGACTGGTTGAGTGCTCGGAATAAAAAAAAAACACTGTGCAGTGGTGCAGGGAAAAGTAAAAACCTTCATCGTCCAGGATTGGATAGAGAAATGCCAACTCTCTAAATCGGAAAGAGTGAAATTAGGGACAAGACGTTTTACAGTGAAAATCACTCTGAATTTAGACTGAAAAAGGCTGCAAATAACCCCTTCCCGATGGAAGCTCGAGTGAAATATCAATCTTTTGGAGTGAAGAAATTTCATTTCAATTCGTCTGGTCCTTAATTTCAATCGGAGAGATTGAATTTTCACTCCAAGAGAGCAAAGTTTTCACTCTTTGGAATTTTGAGAGAATCTTTGGTTGGATGCAAGCTCCTCAGAGATTTTTTTGAATACTCTCCTGATTTAATACCCTTGCTACATGTATTTTTGTCTTGGTCAAAACTATGATGAATGGCCTCTGAATTATTCTCACAAAAACGGGTCTTACACAATTTTTCTTTGCAGAAATTTACTTTTTCTTTCGAACTATTTGGCCAGTGTATCGTAATAAAGTACCAACACCGACTATAATATTCCATGATTTCCCCCATTAAAAAAAAAAAGAACCGACACGAGGAGGACAACCCACTTTTTCCATTCGTCGTCCACATAATTGCTCGACACTGCTAGCTGCTCCAGATATTTCTGGATGAAAACTTTTCCATGACATTAAATCTGTGAAGCTCAAGGATCGTTGGATTGTTTCTGAAATGTGCAAAGGCGGGAATATTCTCTGGAGGTGCCTGGATTAAAAATAAAAAAATCATTAATAAATGCTTCAATGAAAGGCCAATAATGTGCTCTGATAGGGTGAGATACATACAACAACAAATACAATTTGAATTAAAACCCTACACGGCATTGTTTCCTATGATTTCCATGGTGCCAGTTAGACGCTCCATTTTGGAGAGTGGTATTACAACTGTGTGAATTGTGTTTTTTTTTTTACCCAAAAGCTGTGGTAAATAGTTCAAAGTTGCTACATGGATGTCCTCCACACTCCCAATGAAAAGAAATGGGGTTGAAGTTTTTTTTAGGTGCGGGGGAGGGAGTAGGGTGCAACCGAAGATCTGACTGGTATACCCAGCAAGAAATGAGACCGAGGGGTACCCCCCAACATGCCCAATCCCTATGCACATTCCAGACTATTGTTACTTAACACATCCCCCCAAGATGTCTGAAAGGAATTCCCCAGATTCCTGCGAGACAATGACCAACACAAAGCAGGGGGGTGTTTCTCCGTCTCATACCTTGCTGCACATGTTGACTGGCTATGAGCAGAGCTGATTTGGTTAATGCATGTCTAGACATGTTTCTCTATGGCCACCCCATTGAAAGGGTCCTTGGAAGGCATTTCCATTGATAAGTGCAGGCCTGATGTAAACAATCACTTGGGACTCAAATCTGGAAGTTTGTACACAGTTCAATGGGCCTTAGGGCCTACTCGGACTTTTTCATAGCTAAGGGGAAGCTCCTGTGTACACAGCGGTAGGATATCATGGAAGGTTTTAACAGTTTGCCGTATTTTTTTAATCACGTAATTAGCAAAACGGCACTCTAAAATAGAGTAGATATTGCTGTAGGCAGGGTTAAAACAGTGCTTTATTACGCCATTAATTAGGGCGTTACAAAATTTAAAAAAAAGTGTATTCGTGGCGGAGATCAGTCACCGTAGTTAGTACATCATTCTTGTTTCGGGGACTTCACATTTTCTTCGCATAGGGTTTGTGCCACCGTGGGTGCCATAACACGTTGCTATGTGCACAGACCGCGACGCGACGGGCTTTGCTGCAGAGTAGCACGAGGAAATGGGAGGGCTAGGCTTGCCAAGTTGAAGTAGTTCGAACAAAAGAATGCGTTCCTACCATTCATGGGCTTGCGAACGGTCAATATATTTTTGATTCCAGGCCTTAGCGGACTTTTTGCTGGTGGACTTTGCAGTTTACCAAGACTCCGCGCACTCATTATTTGGATACGTATGATAATGCTTAACTTCTACAGTGGTCTTTAGCTGGTACGTGTATACTGGGATGGGTTAAATGGAGGAGAGGGTAGGGTGTAGAGGGTAGATATGGATGTTTTTCTGAGGGGGGCAGGAAGGGGGTGGAATTACCATGGCAGGTGAAGGGACGGGAAGGTTTGGGAATAGAGGAAGAATTGGGGTTGAAATACTTATTGTTTTCCTCCCACAAACTAATAAAATTACATGATAACATTTCTATATAATTTATAGTTTTCTAAATGCTTGCGCTCACATTTTGGATTAACAAACCTAACGGTTACAATGAATTATCTCGCTATTGTTTATCCTGGCCAATCCTGATATCTATAAGTCTTCTTGTTAATTGTTAATGGTCCTATTGTTTTCTTTTTTATCAGATTTATCATAACAGGTTTATGAATATATTTGTGTTTGTTCATTGTACTTTGTCATTGCATTGAATGTATGTAATTAGTTAGCTGTTGTTCTGAATATTTGTGACAGCGATTGATGTTCAAGAATGGCTGAATAAATAATAATAATGATAATAGTTAATTCTTTCAGCTCAGAGCGCAGACTCAATTGATCATATGACGTCCGTGACTCACAGAACGACGCAACAGCCAATCGCTCTTTTGCCCTTCTCTAATGCCATCCCCGGTGAGCTGTGCTCGAACGCCCCTGTGGTATGCGCAGGATTCGACTGCCGAGGACAACTTTGACTGTATGGTCACACAGCATAGAGAGAATACCGAAGGTCAACGCAAAGCAACGGCAGTGTACGGCTACCGACTCCTCTCTCGGTGATTGCCTTCAGAGTAGATATCATGATTTTACTCATCGCTATCGTCATTACGGTAGTCACAAATTTGCAACAATCACAGTGAGTTATTTTTTGTTTGAACTGGTACTCCTTACAACAGTATTTGAGAAAAATCTTCAGTTGAGAAACGACAGTCTTTGGGGTCAGGGAAAGATCTCAGTATCCAGTACTTTTAGTTTTTCTGTAAATGTACTTCATGAATACATAGTTGCAGATACTGACATTTATTTCTGTTTTTTAATGTAAATCCTTGTTGGGAACAGTTTATCGATTAAAGAAAAAAAAAAAAAAAAAAAAAAAAAAAAAAAAAAAAAAAAACAAAAAAAAAANTTAAAAAAAAAAAAAAAAAAAAAAAAAAAAAAAAAAAAAAAAAAAAAAACCACAGCTACAGTCCTAACAAGAAATATGTTTATGTGTTTGATGTCCTCTTGCTTGTGTTATAAAAGTTGTCCTATTCGTCAACATTTATAGTTACACTGAAAGTAACAATACTGTAACAGAGCAAATGATTTAAAGAGAAAGACTATCAAAACCACCAGAGGCGTGGTAATCCTTGTAGACTAAGTAGCTTTCGTGATTTTGAAAACCTATTTCTGGAGTTTCTGGTCAACTAAACCCGACAAACCCACAGTGTTAAAATGTGACTATTAAGTTGAAAATACTAGGAAAACACTGCAAAATTGACTTTGTATCCGCTCTATTTTTTAGAGCTACTGTGTGTTCATACTCGTGCCCTCAGCGTTATCACACGTCATGTGGGACTTTTGGTTGGAGTAGGTGTACGAGATACAGGTTTGTACATACATAGAATGAAAATTCTCTTTCTTTATTTGAAACTCAGGACAGAATAAATGAAAGGAAAATTTACTCACAGGCAAAGGTCTACATTTCACTTGAGTGCAAGCTGGAAATGGGTCTTTTATAAAATTCTTTCATTCCAAATTCAAAGAGGTTTTCACTCCAATTTGTTTTGTCCTTAGTTTCAATCTTCAGATAAAATAAAGTAATTAGTGTCTCCCACTTCCTTGCTGGCTTACAACATTTTCTGTCTTGTCTGCTCCACCCAGTCTTCCTTTTCATGCCACTTTTCGTATGCCCTGACGTTTGCCAACCATTTTATGCTTACTTTCTTACTATTTTTTTTATTATTATTACAACTTATTGATTTCTGGTAATGACACCAAGGATTCCTTAAAGCACCCTAGGCACTGTAAGCTCGCAAGTCTGTATAAACCTGCAGAGAGGAGACAATGAGAAGCAGTCACAGTTACAGAACGTCCAGAATAAAACCCGCGAATTCAGGTAGGGACTGAAAACTCAGTTCACACGTGGACTGAGCCAGGAATCGAACCCGGACCGCAGAGGTGGAAGGCGAGGAAAGAACAACTACGCCAACCTGACTCCCCAGTTCTTTCAGAATGGGGTCATCTACATCACTTATCTTTTTACCCCTTTATAAAATCTTGCTCTCTTTTGCATCATAGAGTAGTTTATATTTGCAATCATTCTTGATCATCTTACTTTACAATCCGTCAACTGCGACGGTTTCAATGGCCTATCACTTCTCATTTTGTTTACCTTATCGTTCGGAAGACAAACCCTTTATCGAAGAAAATGTCAGACAGTGATAAGAGCAGCGAATTCAACTTGGAAAAGGAGCTAGATAGCGTCTGTTGGCATGTCAAAACAGCATCAGTGGTTTTAACATAACTTCACTATTTCACAATTTGGACAATTAGCCGTAATGCAGTCTATATTTTTGTTGCCTTTATAGTCCGTATTTATAATATGCGAAGGCCCCATGACGTTTCAATTGGTAGAAAACACAATTGAAGAAATTCGAATTCTTTGCCGGTCTCCCTCAACATTTTACCCAACAGATCCCCTCTGTTACTTTCATAAAATCTGACTGGAAAAAAATCTGATGTAGCAAGGATTCAGCCAATAAGGTCGCTCCATTAATTGTTAGTAGGCATATTTTGGTCTTTTTGGATACGTTAGATTGTTTGAATATTTAATTTGTAGTAGCCCCGAGTCGAATTTCTTTCATTGCCTTTTCGTTCATTACGTAACATGAGCGGTGAAGCGTGTCACCAATTTCCTTTTAAATAGCCCCTACTGCCACGCGTCCGTCCCTTCTTCTTTCCTGGTTGCAGTGGTCACTTCACTCCTCCGAGTTCCTGTGCTTCGTTCTGGGTGATTCCAGTTGTTAATTTTCATCCTTTTCTTCGTGTACGTCGTTGTGGTGAACCGGGTTGTTTGGCAGTAGTACACAGCTAATATATTCTGGTGAGCTACAACGACGGCGTTTCATTTCATTTGTACCAAGGTGGTCGATTTATTTCCCTTTTGATATAAAAACTCGTTTACTTTATTTTGGAAGGGAAGAAAACACACACAAAAAAGAGACTTTTTAATTTTTTCCTAAGGCGAAGTAGCCACCCAATTATTTTCAAAGGCTAAGTTAGCCACTTTTTTTTTAGACAAAATCGTCTAAAATTTAACACTCACAAAAATAGTTTTTCGCGATCTGAAATACACTGCATCTGGTTCGAATCCTGGCTCAGTCTACATGTGGATTGGGTTTTCAGTCCGTACCTGACTCCGTGGGTTTTACCCGGAACATTCCTCTTGGGTTTTCCTCCCACCTCTAAAACTGTAACTGCTTCTCATTGTCTCCTCTCTACAAGTTTCTTAAGGCTTCCGAGCTACAGTTCCTAGGGTACTTTTAAGGAATCCTTGGTGTCATTACCAGAAAGAAATAATAATAATAACTGATGATTTGATAAAGGAATTATCCTGTGACAGTATTTTACTCGCCACAAAATGTTTCATGGCGTTCAATTTATTCGTTTGTGTATAAACCGCTTGCAGTAAGTCTAGTACCGTTTCATTAGTGTTGGCTTATCTCCAGCGAATTCTCCCCGAATGTAAACATTTTGTTTCGTATTCCCATCCCTCTTCTTAGCAAAGATAACATTTCCCTGATCTCAGCATATTCAATTCACACGGATTGTATCTCAAATCTTTGCATTGCGACATGGTATCTCAATACCCTTATTTCATATGTCTTCTGGGGAGTATAGCCACAGAAAAATGAAAGTCCAAATCGTCTATAGCATCTAAGTAACTATGGGAAATGTTGGGACTAATGAGCTCTGAGCCCATCTCGGATTTAACTCTTGGATTTACTAAACTTATTCTAAATTCTGACTAATTATCGTTTGGACAAATGAATCTCCATCTTATTTTACACAATCATTGGCTAGATAAAGGACCCTTTCCCTTTCGGACTGACAACCCCTGCTATAGAAAACGTGTGTGTTCAGAATAGTCTATCAAGCTTTACAAGTATTTGAACCCTGGACTATTGAGCAGACCCAATAACCAAATCCTGCTCCTTCCGTATCTGGGAAGCATAATTACAGACCATGTACACAGTGAAAACGGAAGAAGACTCACTCAGGATTCAGAATTAAGAGTGTCCGTAGGAAAATTGTTCTTCAACGAACAGATTCAAAACTCTGAACTTCCCCGATGAAAGGGCCCCGAGCAAAGTAACACAGTAGCCAGTTTCCGCATACATCATATAATGGAGGAAAGAACACATCTTCCTCTGTCGTCATACACTGCAAGATAAAAAAGGAACAATTACCATACACAAATTCAAAGAGATATGAGATCAGAGATATTTCTATGAAATTCTAGGTATCTTCTGTACCCTGGCTCCTATGGTTACTTAATCAACCAGGCTTGAGGTCTCATTTCAAACTGAAAGTTTTGCGGTATTTGGGGCTTCATGTAACGGACAATGCTATTCCAGCATGGTAATTGGTCACGCAGTAACCAACCGTAGAATTATATTCGCATTTCATTTAAAACAGGTGAAAATACAGAAATAAAAGTCCCATCCCAAAATGAAAGGTAATGATAAAAGATTTATTTAATTGGTTTTGGGAAAAATTGTAATTCGTGGTAGATAACGACGCCTTCCCTGGTGTGAATGTAAACGTGAAAATCCTGGTTGCGGGGGAGTCAATTTTTAATTAAAAGAGATATTCGCTTCATGGTTGGGGTAAGTTTGGTTACCTTGTTGCCAATGAGTGATTGCATTTCTACCGACGCTTAAACTCATACAACGGTTGCTATAAGATCCATGCAGTGTTACCTCCAAGTGGTGTTCTTTCAACAGGGCTAACACTTGCTATAGGTGTTGCACAGGATGGACTGGAAGTACTTTAAATGATTGCCCAACACGTAAGTTCACCTCTAATTTCGAGGAACCTTCTCTGAAAGCAAAGTTGCACCGAAGAATCTTTGACATAAGGTCCAATAGTCAAATGAGTGACGATAATGGTCTAAGCAACTCGCATACAATTTGACATTACATGACTGCTCAGACCAGTTTCTTTGTCGTACCTACAGCTATTTGTTATAGCAGTACCAGTTGTCCCCATGGAGGGACATGTACAAGTCCGGATTACTGTAGTAACTGCAACCGAGGCTTCTACTCCCCAAGATGTAATCGTAAGTGATCGAGCTTACACTATGGCCAGAAAAAGTTGCAGCCCAATCTTCTAAGTGCATATCAGTTAAAAATAATACAAATAAAAAAAAAGAACTAGGAAAAGTGGCATCTGTAAAGTGGGCCCGCTGATAATGTGTTGTACATTTCCTACATATAGATCTATAAGCTGGAGCTTGTAATTTGAATGTTAAGAGAAAGAATTACAACGAATTTTATATTATTCATGAAGAATAATATATTTGGAAAATATGGCAGAAACAGCGCTGTTTAGAAGCAATGCCAGTGCAGAGTGAAAAACTATTGATGAAATCAAAATATTAAAATCTCGTTTGATTGAGCACAAAGTTTTTAAAATAACCCAGTTTCTTCAACGTCATTCCACAGCATCAAACACCTCTAAATCAGTGCCACCCGGACTTGTTTATTCATATCTAATGCTTTGACGCACCATAGAATAACAATCGATAACCATCAATGTAAAAGAAAATGATCAAATTGATGGCCTTTCCCTAAATTTAGGACCTTGCAGTGTAGTTATTTTGTAAGTCCTGCTTCTGTTTTCCTGTAAAATTTTCGTTTCCTAAGTGCAATATGATATGCTGGAATCTGTTGATTGTTTTGGGGTGGTGATGCAGGTAACATTTTTACAAATGATTCAGTATTCACTGCCTTAATCTTGATCGATGTTTGTGGTTTTAAATTACAAAAGGTTTTGTCAGTCAAGTCTTAGATGTGAAAATACTATTGTTGAGGAAAGAATTTAAGCAACCAAGACTCCTTTGCAATAAGGAAAACAAGTATCTGAAGACGCACGGCATGTCAAGGGGCTTGCCTCCCCATTAAAACAATGAATTTAAAAAAACGAATAAAAATCCCGACCACACCCAAACAGACATATGATCTCTTGATTCCCTTTTCTGACATATTTAATAAAATAGTATGCAGAGATTGAAACAGAATTTCGAGGTAGGTATTAACATGTTTTGTCTCGGCACTTCATTAACACAATATTATTTTTTCCACTGTAGAGTGTACAGCTATTCCTAACTGTCTTGAAGTGTTCTGCAGCTCTTCCTCGGACCAAAAGTGTGACCGATGTGATGGTGAATTCGGCTCTGCCCACGGATCAGCCTACATGAAATCCCATGACATGAGACAATGCATAAGTAAGTTTATTTCATATATTTATTGAGTATTCTGAACTATTCATACCTGACGAAATGATGAGATTGGCGCGGTTGTCCATGACCTATTATAAATAGACATCGTTGCAAAGTTTATAAAAACCTTATTTTTAAATTCTGCTTGTTGTTCTCGACGCATTTAAATCAATCATTAAAGTAAGCTTCCGAAAAGATGTGCAGCTGCAAAAAGAACGAACAGAGTCTAACCTTTAATAAAATGAAGAACGAGCAGGCTGGATAGGACAAGCAAAAGACCAAGCAAGAAGAGAAATAGCAAAATAATAGAAGAAATCGGCGTGTGGAAAAAAGAGAGAATAAACGAAAACGTAGCGTTTTCCAGCTTCAGTCAGACTTACAGGTTTTCGTGGTGGACATGAATAACAAAATATGGAAGAATTTGTTAATACCAAACCAGCTAGTCTCTTTTCCGAGTTACAAGTATATAGTCCCGAGAAGAAGTAGCCTCAATTTTTTTTCCAAGAGGAAAGCAACCTACTTAAGTCAAAAGCTAAAATCTCTCAGACCATTTTGTTGCCTTTAGACTTTAGGCTAAATTTACATATTTTTTCACCAGAGCAATGTTCATGGAGAAGCGACAGCAATGCCTGCTACCCAGGAACCTGTACAAATGCCCAGTGCACCTGCAATAGTGGATTCACAGGAACTGATTGCCGAACAAGTGAGACATGAAAATCCATTAAAAAAGAACAGGCTCTCATCAACTCGTACAATTTTCTTTTACAAAACTGTTTACTCTACTTCCTTACCACTTACAACAGATGTATATATATTCTAGTATTTTGTTCAAATTAATATTTAAAACCAACAATGAACCAAGAAAAGACTGCAGGCAATCCGTTCACTGTCGCAGCAGATCAAGTATCCTTTACTCAAAACCCCTTGTTCCTAACACTCTACTGGTATGCCTTCTGTACAATGTCCCTGGAGTAATCCTTGCCACGGCATTCTGATAAGTGTGATTTTTGCTTGATCTCAAAGCAAAAACTGAACTATCAATCTTACTTAGCTCCAATACCGTTAATTTTCCATTAACCTATAAATTGCTCCATGGGAAGAGTCTGTTTCGATGTCTCCAGGAAATCAAAGCTTTGTAATGATTTTACCAACAGTGGGCAGCAGCCAATCACCAACCCTATCTGAGCACCGTGCTACCCTGACCCTGGGAACAACAACTCTGGAATCACCCTCGGCTCAGGGCAGCACGGCCACTGTCTACACCAACGTTCACAATTTTACAAGCCTGCGGATCGGTTGGACAAGCTCCTACCGACCAAATGGACTACCTGACCCCAGCGGTGGTGGACATCCATATGTCCACAGCCGTGGGCTTGGCGTTGTAAGTGCAAGAGTCACAGCTGTTGTGAAACGTAAGACAAAATCTGCATCCCTGAATTCATGATAATAAGCTGTTAAGATCACACCGGGGCCTAATTGTTCCCAGATTGGTCAAGATAGGGTTTTAACCTAATGTGTTGCACATTCAACTTAAACTCAGACTTATCTCTAATAACAGTTAATTTGTTTTTAAATGTGTAATTATAACTTTGGGGAAGAACATTTTATGAAGTGCATCCCCATTCATCATTCTAAAATTAAAAAGGCAAATAAAGAAACTAATAAACCCATAAAGGGTTACATTGTATAAATTTGCTCAGGGAAAATGTTGAAGAAATGGGGTTGAATCTCATAATTTCCGGAAAGTACGATCTTACCTTTGTTTTACTGTATACAATGTGTTCTCATGAATACAAAAGGGGGCTCGAGTGTTGTATATTCAGTTGGCTCTTGGGACTGCACAGCATCGACAACAGGAAACTCCTTCAATCAGAACAGCCCTGCTACAGATCTGGTATCCTGTGAATATACATTCACTTTGAACTACAACGCCTGGACACCAGCTACAGGAGATGTGTAAGCCAAAGCAATATGTGATCACATAAAAAAGAACCTGAGATTGATGCCATTTTAAGTATTATCTTAATAAAGTTATTGGATACAAACATGTGGCTATTTGAGGAGTACCTTCTTATTCCTACATGTCTGCACAATTCAATATTCTCGCTCTGTGGGACGTTATCATACATTTCAATCGTTTATGTTGCTTTCGAGATGTCTATATTTTCTTAGCTATGGCAAGCTATTGTTAAGTTATATCAGGCTGCATATGTAGGGCCATATCGTAAATATTACCCACACAGTAAGGTATTCTGTTTCCAACGTAAACGATCCTTTGGTTTCTATTTTGTACATCTTATTATAGAAAGAGGTATGATGTTTATTCAACCAGCGGCGGGTACTTGAAACTTTATGACAGAGATCACTCAAGTAGCATCATCACACGGTACTATAGTGGCACAACCACTTCTGCCCACTCAACTTTCACCTTTGATTTTGTTGACCCCTATCACTGCGTGGGTGCGGGCGGTGGATGTAGAACCACCATGCTGGATGCAGGAAACGATGTTACCTCAGAGGTTTGTGTTATTACAACAGTACTCAAATGCCAGATGGTAACATTTGTTGCCGGTTGAAGGGTTTGGAGCCTGAGAATATAATATGATTTTGAATCTAACTTCTATGAATCGGCACTGGACGTTGAAAATCTACATGATCGAAGGGTCAAGCTAACATTTGATTATAGTGTGTTGGCCACCTCAATATCCCTTCCAAGATGCCACTGTGTACGTTTCAGGAGGTAGTCAAGTGTTCATTATTTCCTTTTAGTGATACTGCTTGTCCCAATTCTGCTTAATGTAAAAGGGTTGTCCCTATCTCTCCCGTATCAGAACATTACATGCAGGCGGTGGTAAATTCAACTTGCATCTCCGCTGAGTATATCACATCAATTAAAGTAGTTCCTAAAAATGTGAAAAGTTGCTTTTTAAATATCTTCATCTGTTACAGCAAAATGGGAAGATAGAGTTAGCAGTGCCTCTATTAATTTGTCGAACTTTGTTGTTGTAATTTTGTTTTATTTTTCTCCGCAGGCGATGATTACTGTTACATGGCAAGGCTGGGCTGACAGTTTGGCTGGTATTAAGGGATATGACCTGGTAGTACGACAGCTGTCAGGTAGTCATGGTAGCGAGATGACAGAAATCTTTGATAGTCCTGCCGTATTTTCTGGTGAAACCAACTCAAGTCAGACTGTAACCTTGCCACATGTTGGTAAGTTCCAATAGTATTTAAAGTAGTCCTATATATCAAATGTAAATTGTGCTACTACATAACTTGGAATTGCATGTACTGGTTTGCGTCAACTTGATCATGGCATTGAAAGTCCAATCACTCAAATATTTTATAAAATAAATAAATTAATGCATCAAAATTAAAAATGTGTTACAGGACTTTCCAATATGTGACATGTCATAATTATTATTGATGTTGCATATTCTTCCAAATGCTTTTCTATTGAAACAATACATATTCTATAGGAACAGAAGCGGACAGGGAAATTTCTTTTCTTGCTTGTTAATGATACATCCATGAATGTGTAATCTCATCTTCTACAATTGTACAGGTGTTTACTCTTTCATCCTTTCTGCTATTGACAACGCCGGCAATGTCAAACTCAGCAGACGCTTCGTGTTCTTTGACGATGATCTAGACGATGTTACTGTCAAGAATAATTCCCCTCTGCGCGTGGTCTCGGCAACTGCAGAGACCAATTATTTGTGGTTGACCAATCTCGACTCCAGCGGACGAACGACCCCCGTGCAGCTTGCTTGGACAGGCCATTTCACCAATGTGCACCACCATAACCAAGGATTATTGAAACCTATAGGTTTTTATGTCGCTGGTACCATCGATTCCGGTGAGGTTTGGCACATAATTTTGTGGATTTTGCCAAGTCTGGCCATCTTGTAGTCCTACAAAGGTGTAGCAACAGAGAGAGTGGGGGTGGCACCCCAATTGTTAATTCAAGTCGGGAAATAGAGTTTCAGTCAGCAAATGAATCCAAAATCAGGACATGAACGATATATGTTCGCCATCGGCATTTTCCCATAAGCATGAAAAGTAGAGTACCGCAGATCTCTTTACGAATTTTACATGATACGAGATTCGCGGACAAGTTATAAGTTAGCAACTTTAATGTGACAAGCCCCAAAGAAAATGCTTTCGCTTCACTACTGATGTCCTAGTGTGTAGGCTACTAAAGTGTATGAGTTATTGTCTATGTATCAATGGTAAGGACTGAGGCTGTTTTAATCAATCTGTTTCAATGAGTGGAAAAGTGCTAACATCGTGTAAGAATACAGCCGTTTGCTCAATTATACAAAAACACTTTAACTGTTGGCTTTTTGTTCGAGAAAATATTAGATATCTGTTCACCACTTCCCGGGATGCAACGTGTAACGGGCTATATGGTGTTTCAGGTTACATGGCTTCTGGCTAGCACCCCTGAACAAAGATAATTGATAAACGGGAAGAGCCGCCGCGCCAGGCCTGGAAAGCTCAATTGGCAGAGCACCTGTCGGTATTCCGGAGGTCTTAGGCTCAAATCCCGCTTCAGTCAATTTCTTTGTTCATCTTTATACTTAATCTCTATTTCTGTTTTGAAATAGAACGTACATCATCTGGCTTCCTTTTTGTATGTTAAAGGTAATCGTGTCCATATTGTGCTATAGTTGTACGTGACACAGCTTTTTCCCGTTTGTAGTCACTCAAACTCTTATTATGCAGTAGAAATCGCTAGGCCTAAGTCTGACCTGTATTTCTCATATAGATTATGACCAGAACTTTGGCAGGCGTGGCCGTGCAGCTATCCCAAATGCCCTGGGCGTGACAGAATTTCGCGTCCTTCACGACACTGACCACAACGGTGGCCGAACCACTGTCAACGTGAGTGATGATAACTCGGACAACTGGAGCAATGAGGCCACAAGAACACAAGCCACTTATGACCTGCGCATAGTGGATGGTGATTCTGTTCGGTTCTGGGTGGAGGCCAGGGATCTTGTCGGTCATTTTGTGAGGGACGAGGTGTTGGTCCATGCTGATTCATCCCCACCAATTATTGAAGACTTCTGGCTGGTCCGGGACGGAGAGGTGAACTTGGTCGTACACAATTCTGCTGATCTGCATGAAATGAGGTAGGACAGCCTATTCCATTTTATTTCAATGTTTTATTTTCTGCTCACTTGTGTCATCCACTTTGCTCGAGGTCGGGCCAGAGGTCGTGTGGAGGCGTACAGAAGTGCCTTTTTTTGTTGGGACACAATCATCCATCCAGATCCTTCCTGGAGCTGCACTCTGTGTTGATGGTTACAGTTGGATTACAGGTCCTTGATGACACAAGTTGTAATCTTGAGACTTCTAGTGACCTTCATCCGATTCACGCATAGCAGACTAAGATCCCAAAACTCAGTCAGTACTGGCCAAATGGATCTTTGTTGTTTGTTGTATATAAAATGCTTTAATTAAAAAGGACATTTGGGACTAGGTGATCCAAACCAAGCTGATAATAAACCAGAGATGGTCAAAAGAGATTGCAAGTTACAATCTAAAAAGCTGTCAATACCGTCGAATTTAGCTTTCTTGTTACGGTCAGTTTTCAAAGGCTACACACTAGTCCGCCTGTGTACATTGAATAGTCAGTGGGGTATATATCACCCACTTTTGTGGTGGGGATGGGCTGTTAAATCACCTCCACCCCACACACACACACCCGCACACACTTTTTTGTAATGAACAAAAAAATCCAAACAATTAAAAATCGAAAACACATTTCAAAGTAATAAATATGTAATTCGTATGTCAGATTCTCTATGAATTTAATACACATTAGATTTAGACCTACATTTTTATCATGAACATTTCCCACCATACATATATATAGTATTTGGTGTCGCCCCCTCTCATTTTCCAAATTTCCATGGCCGGGCAAGTTATCCCTCACCTTTCCCCATCCCCAATTTCCAACACAGATTTAGGCTACTTAGCATACATTTTTGGCTAACTAAACCTGTTTTGGCAAATGAACGGAGCACTATAACGGTATTTACAATTTCCCCGAAGACTGAACATGTCAAACAAACATGTGCCGCGAAGAATGTCCCCGCGTGTTTGCGGATTCAGTCCCTGGCTATTTTCGATTTTAAAGGATTGGGCGTTGATATCTACCCTTTATTACCAAGAGTTGATCTTTTTGTTTAATAATTTGATGAATGATATTGTAAATTTTGATATTTCTGTTAACAAATCTCTGTACTGTGTATGTTTGAAATTTAAAAGTTTTAGTTCCAGACGTTGGTTCCTTCAAAGCTCCTGAGTTTAGTTCAGTGTTAAATTTGTTTAGTGTCCTTTTAGTGTACGTATGATTACAGTACTTACGAATATCAAAAAAAATCTATATTATTTGAACTGATGCACTGTCAACTTCTTTTGTCCAAAGTGTTGCTTTCAGGACTTACGACATTCATAGTGGCATAAAAACCATCGAGTGGCGTCTTTTTGATAATCACACTGGCACTGAAATGGAACATGGAAGCCAGACAGTTCCTGCAAGGAAGGTCAGTACGGTAAGTCTATGAAAATTTCAATTGACGAACACTCCAGTATACTTCAAGATATAAAGGTTACTGTGAAACTGTAAAGTTCGTTTAATGCCTTTGTCTCCTCAGAATACTGAGGTCTGTGATCCAGTCAGCTGTTTGTGTGTTCCGATTGGTGACTGCTACGCCGTGGACTATGGTTTTAAACCAACGTACCACATCGGTGATCATGAATTTGATTACTTCATCAAATTGACAGTTACCAACCATGCAAGACTGGTGACTACTAAGACAATCAAGGTACGTAGGCTTCTATGTACCAACGGGCCTTTTGAATAAGTTCACAAATATGACCCTAATGACCTCTCTATTTGCACAAACGTATAGGTATCAGTTGACACATCCGCTCCACAAGCCGGGGTGGTGCATGATGGGATACGTGGATCCAATGAGGTGGACTTTCAGGAAGGCAATGATCTCTCTGCTCACTGGGAAGGGTTCTTTGACAAGGAGAGTGGAATCAAGTTTTACCAGTATCTTTTTGATAAATCCTGCTGGACTGGAAATACAACAATCGGCAGTATTAGCGACGCTGTAAGTTGCATTTGTTTGGAATTTTTCATTTAAATTCCCAAAATTCTTGTGACGATATGAAGGAGGCACTTTTACTTTATAACCTGAATAATCTATTTATTTCTTCAGATGACTGAAACCACTTCTACATATGCCAGTTGGACAGCACCTTCTCCTGGTCGGTACTTTGTAACCGTCATTGCGTATAATCGAGCCCTGGAGCCATCCGAGGCAATCTGTTCTGATGGTGTCGTGATAGACACGAGCCCACCTGTGTTGTCACAGATTTCTATCGGCTATGCTCGGGTGTGGCCTGGTCTGGCAAAGGATGCTGAGGGTCGGGTGTGGTTTGTCGATGAACACCGCAGAAAGATGGAATTGATTAACGCATCCAGTCGATGCAGGTATGAAGATGCCACAGAGATACTGACGAGCCTCATGATCATGTTGCCTTTTCTCTGCTCACAGGTAAAAGGGATAAACCACTTGCAAACAGAGAGGCTGGAATGACACTAGCATTTGTAACTCCGGTCTTAGTAATGCTGGTGACATTTGGAAAAACCAGCTTTGGGAGAATTTCCCGAGGTCTTGAGCAATGTGTTTACACATTTTTGACCTAGACCTACGCAACTGGGCAGTTCGCTCTGCAGTTAAGATTGTTGTTTGGTATACATAGAAATCTAAGAGGACGACAGCTTCTTGGTGATAACCACCTCGTTTGTTTATGTACATGGTTCTATTTGTATATAAACACTAAAAAAACATTAGCAATATTGAAAGGCTGTATAGCCTTGGGTAAAACACTTTGTTACTGTTAAATTTTTCCACCATTATATTCCTAGGCCTGTTTCTAAAGCTGATTGTCGTGGAGTATTATCCTGCTTTGTGTAACTGGACGACTAAAATAACAATTCCTAAATATTCAGGTGTTGTTACAATTTTTGTTGAACCCAGTTTTAGGGCTACTCTGGTGACTGATATGTCTTTTTATCCTGAGATGGTTGGCACCAACGACTCTTTAACAATACTCCAAGGAGATATGGACTGTGTTTGGATCTCAGCCATTCAGCAAAAATTCTTCTTGCCAACCCACAAACATGTAAGTGTTTCATCGCCATGATTTACTTCGTGGAGGGAGTGGCCTCTCCTGTAGACGCCGCAGGAGCTAATTAAGGTGTAAAAAAATGGCTTGGCTGGCGCGTGGCGAGCCCCCCCTCCCGCAAATCGGGATAGCCTGGGAAAGGCCCCCCACAGTACTGTGATGTACTTTCGGTGGGTTTTAAGAGCTGTAGAGGCTAAGGGACAGCCACTGAAGCATTTATATACCTATAGGACGGACTCGGGGCTCTGCAGCCCTGAGAAATGATACGACCTCTTTTGGCGAGGCCGCTCCCGCCACCACGTAAAAATCATACCGCGCCCCAGGGTTAAGATATAATAAAGATGTATTGAGATAGTCAAGCATGGAAAATATTAGACTATCTGCTTGTTCTCTGTGCTTTTGGTCAACACAAGCATTTTTATTTCACAAGAATCTACTTTTCCAAGGATGTTGCCTAACTTTCTACATCTGAAAGGCCATGGGACTGAGAGGCTAATTGGACACAGACATTCCGATCGTGAGAAAGTGTGGGATTTAAGTCAGATTCCAACAGTTTTAATATGAATTCCACAACTGTAATTGTTTGTGTTGTCAATTGCAGGTAAAGATATCCTGGACAGGTGAAGATGCAGAGAGTTCCATCTTTGACTATAAGATCGGCCTCAGCAGTGACCCCTCAAACCCCGCCCCTGACCTGGTGACCTTTACATCCACATCAGGTCACAATCACTTCATGATGTACCACCCCGATATCAGCCAGGGCGCCGTGTTCCACTTGGTCCTGAAGGCAGTGAACAAAGCTCAACTCTCAACATCCAAGGTCAGAGGTTCATCAATTGATGGACCATCAAGTGTGATGGATGTAAAGCTGGAAAAAAACAAACAATTGACAAAGTGAAGGTTTTAATTAACCAAAACGCGTGAAAGTATCAAGTTTGGCAGTGATTTTGATGGCTTTTGTCATTCTCCAAATTGTAGGTAATTGGTCCAATTGTAGTGGATACCACCCCACCCGTGTTTGTTGGGCGCATCTCAGTCATCGCCGAGGATGACTTCTTGGTTGCGAAATGGGGAGACAAAGACTTCACTGATGATGAGGATACCGATCTGAGGTACCAAGTCGCTGTTGGTGAGTCAACATAACGTAGACTTTGTTTAGGAAAATGGTTCGTCGAACATTAGCAAATATCAGTCTGCTAAGGCTAGTTGAGCGTGTCTCCCTCCTTACTGCTTCAAATGACGCACAATTTTCTTTTTTTCTTTGAGAGAACATTCTGGTCGAACCAAATGAAATTAAAATCAAGGGATTCAACGTTTTCTTACTCCCAAAGTAACGAGTATTTCTGCATCATTGCAGGTAACAGTCCTGGTGGCACAGAGACCCTTTCATACAAGACAGAAAAAATTTACAGAATTGGTCCTTGCGCATCCCAGTCATCTTGTGCTGCATTCGCATTGGATGACTTACACTGGCATCTCCATGGTGACCATGAATATTATGTGTCAGTCAGAGCACAGAATGGCGCTGGACTGACAATAGTGGGGATCTCATCCGTTTATAGACACATCGTGCAGTTGCCATCGCTAGGTATTGTATTGGATGTTGCTCCGCCAGGAGAAGAGGTGACTGTGGACTTAGGGGTAATTATGTGCTTAAAGTAAAGAGACAAACTTTAGTTCTTCTGTTTTGGGCGTAAATCACGTTTATAAAGGTCTGTCTTTTGGAAGTATTATGGAGATAGTGTTTGAAAACACAATTTTTAAACATAAATATAGAAGTGGAAATTATGTTCCTAAAAAAAAATCAGCATTTAAAAGTGATTATAAAGATGAACAAAGAAATTGACTGAATTTGGAATGTCAGTGGCTCTTGGAGTCACACCCCAATTAAACACGATACAACCTGGGAAGTGTTGAACAGGGATCACTCGGAGAGGATGCGACTTTTTAACATAAACCATGAAAGAATTCCTTGGCTACATGGTGTTTCAGGTTTCAAGGTTCTGGCTAACGCCCCCCGAACAGAGAAATTGACAAATGGTCAAAGCCACCAACATAGGGCTGGGTAGCTCAGCTGGCAAAGCACTGAAGGTATTGCAGAGGCTGCAGGCTCAAATCCTGCTCAAGTCAATTTCTTTGTTCATATTTGTAATCGTTCATAAGCGGCTAGTCAGTTTCCCTAAATGATTTGTTTCAGCATTTAAAAATAACAAACACGGAGTGATTTACTTTCGCAGACGCTGTCATGAACTGTTGTTAACTACCAACGTACCAAGACTGATATGAATCTGAAATATGCGTGTTCCCAACCCTACTAGAAGGCCAATACGTTACCCTGTCTGGCAATTTAATCTCATACTAGGTGGCCAAAGACATTGATGTACAGACGGACAACACGAGCATTTCTGCTCTTTGGTATGGCTTTGAGCATCCCCACCTTGACATCAGTTATGAGATTGCTGTTGGATTACAAAATGGGTCGTCAGATGTCAGCGGTGGTTTCATCGATGTTGGCAACGCAACCTTCTATCGTTTGACTGGACTGGACCTATCTCCGCTCCTGGTAACACCCCCATTGAAATGGTTTCCATGAGACATTGTGTCACGTGTGACGCTTGCGTAATTCATTTGAAGATTCTGTAGTTTGTGTACAAGTTGCAGTCTAAAACACACGTCATCCGTCGTTATTTTCGTTGAGTTGTGTTTACGATATTAATTGAAAAAGAGGTGCTTTTTCATTTTGTCTCTTTGTTCTCCATTTGTCTTTCACAGACTTATTACGTCACTGTTCGTGCCAACTCTGAAGCTGGGAGCGTCAACGTTGCCTCAGATGGCGTCAAAATCATTCAGGAGGGTCAGGTACTTGAGGGAGCGGTGATCAAAGATGGACTAAGTTGTGATGAAGATGGAAGTAAGTCCTTATTTTTTAACATGCAAAACATGTTGTTTTACTGTAACGAATTTATTTAAGATTGATTGACCATAACGCTTGAAGTTCTCTCTTATCTTCTTCAAGCTTGGATTTGATCATGCCTGTAGATGTCTGTAATACCTTAGTCCTGGTACTAAAGACAATACTGCTCCTTCAACCTTCCCCCTAATCTATTCTCCTTCTCTCTCCTACAGCATCTGCTCCTCAAGGGTTGAGCCATCACTCACCCGCTGCTGCTCGACCCTGTCAAGATAACACCGCCTTCCAGTCCTCCACCTCAGAAATCTCAGCTCATTGGACCCTCCCAGAGATGTTGGAGCCCTTCGTGACTAACGTCGTTTGGGCAGTCGAGCAGGAGATTGAGATATACCTTGGTAAACCTATTTTCCTTCTTGAGCTTTATGAGCTGTTACTCACCTCAATCTCAAATTTGGTTGAGACTCACAGTACAATAACAAAAATGACATTTGCAGTATTTGATTTGATATAAATTAGTGTAGATTTGATTGCCTCGACCAATATGCATTTAATAGTTATGTGAATCAGTTCAAGGTAAAAGTAAACAAAGTCAAAATTCTTTTGCCCATGATCTGTCAAATCACAAAACATGTAGCGCTATTGAATTTTTAAATGTTAACGGCAAGCATGAATTCTACGTTTCCCACAGACAAAGAGAACACATCTAGGAAATGGATCACTTTGCTTGATAATCATGATCTGGGCATGGCATTCCAACATGTTCAGGCCGGTATAGGATTACATGTTGGAGCACGCTACAGATCAAAGGTAGTAAAAGAAACTCTACTTTTATGCATTATTATTTCCCAGTGTGATTACTTGTACCCATTCGATGTGACGTGTGATTTCTGTCGAGACAATTTAGGTATAAGAATATAATTAGATGCAAAATATGAAAATTTTACAGGAATTACAGACAAACTGGCCTTTTTCCAACATATCTTATCTTACAGGTTCAGTTCTGCCATGTTAGTGTATGCTTTCAACCCTTCGTGACTGATGGATTCTGGGTACTTTCCAAACCTCCTGAGGTCGGTTTAGTCACAGTCGGCAACATTGAGACTACACAAGACAGAACAGATATCCACGTGGCCTTCCAGCCTTTTGCGCACGATTACGTCAACCATGATGACTCCCAGGAACTGATGGACTTCTATGAGTGGAGCATCGCTGAAGATGGTATTGATGGAGCTCTCTTGAGTCAGTGGAAAAGAATTGATGATTCTGTGGCTACTGGAAATGTGGTGTGTTTTTGCTGTTCTTGGAAGCTGCTTTGGTTGCAAAGAAAATTTTATGCACATTGGCATTTAGATTGAAGAACCTCGGTCAGTCGACAGGAATTCAAGTGTGTTCTGGTATTCCACTCCCTCCACAAATTCTTGATGTAGGTCTACAAACGTATTGCTGTAATAGTGGACATTGCAGAATTACAGACTGAACTACAACAGACACCTCCTTCCATAAAGATTATTTATCGAAAGTTCTTTAATTAAACAACTCGTGAAATAGGCATCATAAACTTTTTTCATTGTTTTATTAAGTCATCTTCCTCGACCAAGCCCGTGAAATGCAATTGTATAATTCTTTGTATCACTTGTTCAAAAGTTCCGCTTCACAGCATTCTACAGTGGACAGTTAGACCTAGATGTCTGTCTTCGGCTATCAATCAGGGGCTACAACAAGGCTGGCCTGTCTTCCATCACCACCACCGAGATTGTTGACTGTGATGATGTGACGCTCATTGTCCCTCATACTGTCATTGATGCAGATCGTAAGTTGTATTTATTCGTGTTTTTTCTCACATTCTATTATCATTTTTTTATGTTATAGGCACACTTGTGTATCATACGTATGATGCTGTTCATCAGTTTTCTGATTTAGTAGCACAGTGCGTATAGAAGGGGAGTATCCATAAACTAAAGACAAAAATTTAATTTGAGGATGAACATTTCTGTGATCTTTATCACCACGAATAATGCTCGAACTTTACGACAGATGAAGTCAGTATGGAACAGAATGCTCTGTGGCCGGAGCCAGACAAGAACTACATCTCCTCTACATCCTCCTTATCAGCTGTCTGGCCCACGCTGCGCCACAGGGCCTACACCTGGGCAGCCATTGAGGACACTGGATCAACAGACTTCGGCGACTTGGATAAGGGTCTGCAGTATCCTTGTGATCACCCAAGGATGAAGGCCTGTGGAGAGACAGGTACGATTGGGAGGCTGAGAATGAAATTGCTGAAATGGGAATTCCTAGTGTGTGGCACAGCATTGCAAAATATATAAACATTAAAATGGAAAGCCATGGAAGCATCACAAGCTACAGGTGTAAAAGGTGACAAATAAATCTTGATCATTGAACTGTGGTTAACTGGCCAGGATCTAATGCTTTCAAGATTTTAAGGTGCAATTGAAAATGACCCAAAGGACAAATTTAATAATGTGCGGTAATTGAAAAGTTTCTGATTTGAAAACCTTTACTTCATAGATTTGAAAATTCAAGTTTAAAAATCGTTTCGGTGGATAGAGAAAATTTGGCCTACTAAAAGAAAAACAGGAGGTTTGTGACAAAAAGTACTTTTTCAGAGCAAGGAGTAGGCTTACCCTTCGGTACACACTTCGCTTTTGAAGTTTTGGCCCCAGTTATGCTGAACAAATTGGATAACAATAGATGTCAATGTGTCTGTTCTTGTAGACAAGGAGTTCGTCAATGTTCCAAATTTATCCCTGTTGCATGGGAGGCGCTATCGCATTTGCATCCGCGCTGATGAAGTTACATTGGAGCATGAGCTCTGGAATGAACCGTTGCCTGCTGTGTCCAGCTGTAGTGATGGTGTTGTCGTAGATACGACCCCACCGACACCTGGCTCCGTATGGATTGGTTGGAGTCAGCATCAAAACTATCAAGTAATTTCTATTCACTGTTTGCTCTTATGCATTGTTCTTTTCACATAAACGCACTAGAAAACTGATTCAATGTACGTGATACAGGGCTCTTTGTATGCCTGGTGCATGCGCATGTTCTCATAACGTAATATTGTTTGCATTTTGTTTCATATTGAATGTTATCATGACACAAACAAATAAACTTCTGAGAAATTCTATCGATTTAATATTGACGTGTCATCTTTTTGAGTTTGGTGAGAAGGTTTTCTTTATATTGTGAGTCGTTTTTTTTAATTCGTTCTAACAGAGTTCCAGTTCTGAGTTGGTGCTACACTGGGAGTCCTTCACTGACATCGAAGAACGCGGCATGGCACGTCACCACTCAGGAATCAAATACTACGAATACGCCATCGGTAGGGACAACAGTCAGAAATATACCAAATGGCCCTGTTATTGCTGTGTTTAAATTTGACACACTGAGAGCAGACCTTTTGGTTCAGCTTTTGAGGCCTGCTAACTAACATCTGCCGATCATACCTGCTCATGAATTGAGGGGATTTTCTGAGCACCCGGATGTTAGCATATCTGACTGGAATCATTTTGAGCAAATTTTTAAATTATTCAAACAACCTTTCTGAAACGAAAATTACGTACTTGTCCCTGTTAAAGCATGGATTTTTAATTTGTGTCCAAAGTATAGAAAGCCCCAAAGCAGGGCGGAAATTTATAGGACAATGGTAAAGTGGCAAAGGTGTAGTGTACACCACGATTCCTCTAATATTAATACTCAGCTCTATACGAATTATCGAAAAGCACACGTAATGAATTCTTCTTGCATTAGGAGTTCCTGGGAAAGACGTTTAAATAGTTTAGAATGATGTCAGTCAATTTACCTTTCTTTGATTGGTTCTTTACTTTAGGTTCGACGCGAGGTGGCAGTGATGTAAAAGAGTTCGTTCGTGTTGGCATTGCAAACAATGTCATCATACATAATATGAAACTGCAAAATGGACATACATACTATGCAACAGTGAGGGGTAATTATGATAAGGCATTTACTTTTTGACGGGAAAGAGGAAATACTGTAAGCTGTTTTGCCCGGGAATGTTTTACATTTTTAGGTTGTTTTGTCACTTTTGAGGACATAAGTTCGATATATGAGGCGGAGCCTCGTTAGATTTGTGTGTTTCCCTTGTAAACCCTTGTTTCTCGATCGCTTTGCAAAACCCTCAGTGGTCAGGTTTAAAATGTTTTCGGTTTCAATTCTGAAAAATAAGTCCTGTGGAATCAATTACCAATAAACAAGAACCAAGTCAGACAGACTCTGAACATATTTTCTGGGTTTTTAACAGGTCAGTTAAATTAACTGAACCGTTGTTACTATTTTTCGTAATTTTACAACCAGCAACTGACTTTGTTGGTCTGTCATCCCAAGCGACATCCGACTCGGTTACCATTGATACGTCATCTCCTGTCATAAGTGACGATCACACTTTGGACGTTGGTGGCAGCTTCATCCGGTCCACAACTTCTGTCTCTGTCAGGTACTATCAGAAAGGGGATCAGTGACTAACTTTGGTATTCTGACATCCCATGGGACATCCGACATTTTTAGGCATAGTCTTGTCCACAAAGCCTCTCCAAAATAGCAGTAAATACTGCTCAACAAATTAAGGCATAACTAGGTGCAGGCTACACTAGCAACGAAAGGAGATATCAAGTGCAGCATTTGGAAAAATGTCTCAAAAATAAGATAACAATGGTTAAAAACTATATATAGTTCTCATTCTTCACCTGCTCTTTCCCTTTCAGTTGGGAAAATGTGTTCTCCGACAAAGAGAGTGGCATAGCATATTACGAATGGGCCATCGGGTCTCATCCCGGTTATGCAGACATCATGCCTTTTACTAGAGAGAGTACAGAAAATGGGCTCAGTGGCCCTGCAAGAGAACTGCCTCTACAAGAAGGCCACTCGTATTTCATTTCTGTAAAGGTAAGCTTGTAAATTTTCTGTCTGGAAATTTCTACAATTTAAACTTGCTCATAAAGAGCATACGCACTGACACACATGATATTCAAGATCCATTTAATTAATTCCAATTTCGTCAGGCCATCAATACTGTAAGTCTGATCACGCTGAAGACGTATGGTGCATTCATGGTCGACGCAAGCCCTCCATTAGCTGGCCACGTCTATGACGGGGACTCGGCCCATGTACCGGCCCATCACAGAGACCAAGACTTCCAGGAGGGTCGTGTTATAATCAGGGCATTCTGGGAAGGCTTTCATGACCCGCACAGTGCCATCATTGGCTATTCCTGGAGAGCTGGGATTTGTCCAGTGTGTGACGACATTGTGCCTGAACAACATGTTGGCCTTGACAATGGTAATGCTGAAATTATCAACATTTATAAAATTATTACTTACGTAAGAAATTCACAGTTGTCTCTTTTAAGTATTCTTCACCCACAACGAAGTAAAAACATAAAACAGTTACAATTGAAATAAACATTTTTCCATATTGTTAAGGATTAGTATCTAGTATATTTTGACTCACGCCATATAAAATTCTTCTCAAGTCTGCTTAAGGTGTTATCGATTTTACATTCAGATGTGGTTGCTGAAAACCTTAACCTAGTGCCTGGTCTGACCTACTATGTGACGGCGACGGCCTGTAATGCCGCTGACCTTTGTACATCAGTCACTTCCGATGGAGTCATTGTAGATGATTCTCCTCCTGTGGCAGGGCAGGTGTATGATGGTGGACCAGGGGGTGGTGACATTAGCTGCCAGTCATCAAGGTGAGGGAAATCACAGTAAGGTTTTTGCCCTAGCATTACCAACACTAAAGGTCCTAATGGTTTGATATATTCTGCATCCATCTAGTCTGTAAAACTGAATACAGCCAGTCTCTGGCTTTGTTGAACACTTGTACTATACCTTATTAAGATACATCCCACAGACAAAGCCGTGTGATGTATGTAAATATTTATTGCTATTTTTATACAATATTTTCTAAGACTAGGATTGGATTTTGAAGCCACAAGAATTCTTTTGTGAGTTACATCCTAATGCCTTTTAGCGGTATCCCAGCTTGCAGTAAAAAGATTCCTAAATGTTTAATTGAAGGTATGCTCTTTTTGTAAACTGCTCTTGTATGTACAATCGTTTCAACATCGAAGAAGTAATTTGTATTCTATTTGTTTGATTACATGTTCATCTGTGTAGGCTTCATCTGCAAGCACATTGGTGGGGCTTCCATGACCCTCACTCCGGCCTCTCCCACTACGAATGGCGCGCTGGCACTACACCAGGAGCTGCGGACATTCTCCCCTCTACACGCATTGAGCTGTCGGAGGATGCTATGATATTCCTGCCAGTGTCAGGCCAGCTGCCCATAGGCACTGATATATACATCACTGTGCGCGCCTATAACCGACTTGGTATGTGGAGTGAGGCTATATCTAATGGGTTCCGTGTGGACTCTAGCCGCCCTGACGTGGTGAACACACCTGCTGTTGATGAGACGCGGGGTGTGGCTGTCAGGAATACCCAGGTAAAAATACAATGAATTCATAAATCCTATTGTGTATTGTCTCGAGTTAGCGATCGCAAAACATTTGTTGACAATAGCAAACTTCTATCAAGCAATATTTCCAAAGTATACTGTGTATTTTCTGCTGTTATTTATATTTTTATGAATTGTAAGGATCTGTTTCATTTTTATTTCAGCTTCTGCATGACGTGATTCACATTTCCTGGAAGTTCAGTGACCCTGAAAGTGGTATCAAAGACCAATACATATCTGTCAGCACACATCACAATGGAGATATCAATATACCTCCAATTAAAGTATGTGTTTTTCATGTAACGAATGTTTCAATAATAAATGTTGAGTTCTATAGTTTGATAACTTTTAACAATATGAATTGATATGATAGAAGCTTTTCAATTTCGTGATTTTGATTGGACTGCAGTTTCATTTGAGATCAGTATTTGGTTGGTAATCCAAAAGATACTTCTTGTTCTTTTATCATTTGAAGATTGCGGGCAGTGAGCTGGACCACACTTTCACAAATCTGACATTACAAGAAGGAAGTCATTACATTATAACAGTGGTAGCTTGCAACTTTGCTGGCCTCTGCACTGAGGCTGAGACGGAATCTTTCCTGGTGAGTATTGTGAACCTGATCTTGATTGCCCATACAATAAATACAAATTCTTGAGTAAGTCTTCTCGCAGACGGTTGTCTCTACTTCAGAAAAATGTTTACGTTGTTCAGCGTAAAAAACATTTTGATTGGTCAGCTACATGTTTAGATAATATACTTTGATTGAAATTCGGAAAATTTGGATTTGCTTTTGATTAGTTTTTTTTCTGTCAGAATCAGGTAGCTGACTTGATTAGAACTGTGCTAGTAGCTTTTACATTGTGAAAAACGTTTTGGGTCATTTTTGTCATTTCGTTCTGTTTAAATTGTTTCTCTTTGAAATTAAAGCAAGCTTTAAGCTCGGCCAAATTTCACAAGATTGTAGTTTAGCCAAAATACCTCCTTTTAATTATTAAAACTACCATGCCCTATTTGTTGAGATGACAGACCCCTCCCCCGCAAAACCCATGCTACCTTCATCGCTCACCACTATATTATGCTTTTTTCTCTCAAAATGAAGACTTTTGCAATTTATAGCATCATATCTGTTACAGGTTGATGGAAGCCCACCTACGGTTGGGGCATTTGCTGTGGAAACTGAGAGTGCTGCTAACCTGAAACGTCATCATATTATCTGGATAGATCCTACGGAGCCAGCTGAAACTACCAAACAAACAGAGCCCAATACAGCCGTATGTTTGTGTTAATCACCATCGGTTGTGTAATTTATGGCGTTTACGACAATTACTTGGCATTTTAATAAATTTGTGATTGCTTTTGAATATACTGGTAAGAATAATTTCATAAAGAGACAAAATGATCCACTCCACGAAGTAAAACGAATTATAAATTCGTCGCCGAAGCAATTTCTTTCTTGTGAACGATTGTGAATCGTTAAATTTGGTTTTATACAACACTAAAACATTTCCTCTTACAGTGCAAGGGTGGAACTTCGACATATCCTCTTTACCAGTAGATTATGACGACATTTTTCGCAATGTGGCCATGTCGTGGAAGTTTTGCAAATAATTCAGTGACAAACGACCGAGGGCTGCTTCCAGCAAGACAGTTGCGATTATTTAGATATTCAGATACAGCACAAAATCTGCCGAATTTTTCAGAGAATTATGTTCACGAGTCATCCTCACAATGCTATTGTCAGTGTTGTCAGGAAATCATAGATCTCAGATCTTTTTATAGCAAAAATGTGTTGCAGCACTACAAATGGACTGTTGAAATGCCACTCCTCATTACAGCCTGATGGCCCTAGCCTTACAGTTCACTTAGCCCACTCGACGAACACGATCACCGAAATTCCGTCTACTACCTTGCCTCCCCCGCGCTACCACTCTGGTTGGATGACATGGCTGGAAGACACTAGCACCTCCACTGGTTCCTTAGCCCTGGCCTGGCTGGGATTTTCCGATGTGCACTCTGGTATCAGCCACTACTTGGTCTCCGTTGGACGCACCCACGGTGGCTCGGAACTCACTCCAGTATGTTTATCCACCCTTTTAAACGACAACTTATTGAAACAGTGGGGAAATGTGAGGCCTATGCGTTGCAAATTTTTTCATCCCTTTTGAAATATCCAAACCACAGGTTTCTTATGTTTCTGAAAAACGGACATTTTTGGTCAGTTGACTGAAACACAGGAATAAGGACTTATAATTGATTTCATGTGTTATAAATTTGATATTGGTTATGTTTGTCTGATGCTTTTTCATGGCAAGTAGAAAAGCCTGTGTCTTCAGACTGTCACAGAACAAAGCCCTCGATGTCATAATCACACATTAAATGCACAACATTTGTCTTTCCCAGAACGGGCCAGTTCGAGTCAACCACAGCAATGACGGCATGGCATTGGATGAAGGCATCGCACAGACAGCCGTTGTACCAATAGATGCCAGTATTTCAAGTCTATCTCCTCCCTATATTTACATCTCCATCTGGGCCGTTAATGGGGTAGGTAGCTGTAATTCAAGGTGCAAAACGGGAGAGTTTTATATCAGGCAACCGTAATCGTTGAGTTAATTGTACCTAAACAGCTTTAACCCTGATAATGTCAGTTTCTTTGCTCGTCTGCAGTAAAAAAGTGAGGTGTATTTCAATTATTGCAAATATTAAAGACCAGGATAATGAGTTCTTGCCTTGCAAAGCAACATAAAGTCACATTTCATTGAAAATGAATCTGATTGGTAGATTAAACTTTCTGTCACACTTTTGCTTGCCAGTCTGCAATAGGAAACAAGTCCAATTTGTTTTTCGTTGTCTCTGTTAACTTTAATAGGAGTTTGCACTTCTGTCGTGTGAGAAGGCCCTCACAAGGAAAAGGGAAATGTTTTATTGGGTCTTCTAGCAGTTTTTCCGTCGGTTCCTATTTAAACCACCAGAGGGCCAAACAAACCAAGACTAGACCAATAAGTACAAGACCTTCAGTCTGAATTTAAATGATAAACTATTTATTTAATTAAATGAACTATCAAAGCTTAACTCCTTTGAAATTATTCGTTCTGTTACTTGTGACTGATCTCTACCGATCTCTACTGACAAAGTCGTGTGAAGTGTCAGTCACTTTGAGAAGTCTTTTAGAAGTGAGTAAAATAAAGCACGCCTGAAATGAATGAAGATCTGAAAAGAATCGGGCTTAATGAAGGCCAAGTTCAATATTCACCGTTTTATATAAGACAAAATACGTCAGTGTATTAACATTAAAAATGTGAAATAATTTCACAATGGGCAACCGAGCAAATGAGATAGATTTCACGTTTTTTCAACGAAGGTTGGACTGACCAGCAACCGCCACCATTCCACCTTTGAGGCCTCTGCAACTTCGCCCGTTGAGGGTGCCCTTGTCTTGTTGCGACGCTGCTCGCCTGCAACTTGCGAGGGCCACTGTGCGTGCGCAGCCATCAATAGACAGTGTGCTCCAGATCAGGGCCAGAGTTGCAGTGACACCAGCAACAGTAAGAATTTTTTGAATGCAAGTTTTCCATACTGACAACACTTCTTCAGATTTTTTGTTTTATGTTCTTCTCTACGGAGTGGGTTGTGACGACATGATAATAACAAAATACTTCTTAAACTTATTTAGTGATTCTTTGAAGACTTTCGAAATCTCTCTTTGCCTTATGGAGACGGAGAAAATGGAAAGGCTGCCCTACAGCTGTCTTCAGCAAAATGTATTCAAGTTTACTTCACCAAGTGTTTCATGTGGGAGGCATACTGAAATTTTTCTGCTCATGGAAGATGAGATTAAAAATAAAGAAAAGTAGTAGTCTGGCAGTTGGTTCACGCTTTGAGTGCCACGGACTAACCTGTGCGCAGATGGCAGACAACCATATTCCAATTTTTGAATGCAAGACCATAATGGGCAAGACTAGAAATCTGTAAGTACGGTGTGAGTTGATCATCCTTGATACATGTAAGATATTAATACACTTGATCAAAGTGAATAAGGTCGTATCTACATTTTATGCTACTGTTCCTTCATCGTCTTTGCAATACGATGCCGCCAGATAATCCCAATACCGAGATAGAGGTCCTTGATGTCCTGAATCTGATGCATTATGATGTGAACAGCATAAGCGATATTGACCACACTGCTACCCTTTACATGGCGGCTGCAGTTTGGCGGGCCACGCAGCCGAAAGGGCTGGACATTAAATGGTATGTTGGAACATTGTGGATCGGTTATTGCTAATGTCAAATCTGAAATCAGGCCAACTTGGTACTTTGGTACTTCAATGTTGCAGTGTTGTAACAAGAAGCAATTACGAACAGGCTTATCTGAGAATTTTGTTCCTCCAGAAACAAATATAGCACTAATAGTCCTAAAAATCCACCACTTTTTGATATGATTTTAAGAACACCTTAGGGGATTAGGGTTAATGATTTGTCAAGGATGCCAAATTGCTGTACCTACCCGTGTATGCCACTTACTCCCATGGATTTTTTATTAACCCTTGAACACTTCCAGGTTTGAATGGAGTATCGGCGATGACTCTTCATCGGATCCAGTTGGAGTCTTTGATCCAGCGCAGGACAGAGTTTGGTTTGATGTTGGACAGGATAACTTTACAATCATTACATTAGATGATGGTAATGAAATCTGAGCAGCCATTTGTTGTTACGTAGATTGATATTCCTTTGAAGCAGCAACTTTTTTAATTATGACAGGGCCGACATTTGATGCTGGTAGAGCTTTCCTTCAGTAATTCTTCAGTTTTAGAGCTTTAGCGTGATCTAAATGTTACACACACATTCAATTAAGTAAATAGATCATAGCGAGTATCAAGACCATAAATATTGTGTGTCTTACTGAAATATAGTTTAATATATATTGAGATCGAAATTTTTAGGTTAAAGAAATAACAGATTATAATGCACAAGAGGCTTTAATTTCCCACTTTCACTGCTGTGTTTCTGTTTGCTTCTGTGTTTGGTTCATCTTTGCTTCTCCTTTGCAATTATTTTTACCCTCAATACAGGAGATCTTTGTCTAAATTGTACCATCAGATTTTTCACTATGGTTCGACTTTCTACTCGTTTACTGAGTTACAGCAAAATATACTAGACGAACATTTGCACCAATTTAGCTGCTGTATCAGTGTGCGATACCTTTTTATATTCCTCGAGGCATTTTTGGGAATTTATTTATCTATTAGACCACAAACTGCAGAAGGGAATTAAGTATCACGTGTTCGTCCGAGCCTGGTATGACATGAATACGTACGCTGTGTTTAAATCTGACGGCATTACCCCTGATGTTACACCACCAAAAGTCTCAACAGTCAGAGGCACAAAGGTAATTAAAATGCATTGTCGAAACGCTTGGGACAATCTGAAGACAACTGTAAATATCTTAGCTTTTGCCCCTTAACTTGGAGGTATAGCTGCCAATAAATAGTACATGTTTTCAACACTTTTCCTATAACGGATCACTGCCTGCTGTAATACTGGGACCATTTGCAATTCATAATTAATGAGCTCTTTTATTCAAATTGAACTTTGTAAATACGGATTGACTGGGGTGCAACTGGCTGAAAGGACAAAATTGAAACCATAAAGCCAAATTTTGGTGCAGGCAGTTTTGTACATTGCGGGTAAAAGCAGAATGTATTTACATGTGCATAGAAAGAAGCTACATATTCACTCAAGTTCAAGTTTATAGCCGTGTTGTGTTCAAATTATTTTTTATATGTTTGGTTTTTGTGTGGGTGTTTCTTACAGTCAAAACTTCTTAATGAGCATTGAGGGGAAGAAGTAACCTTTTCTTTTCGGGATATAAAACATTAATAATATTGTTGTTCATCAATTCAGGTCAAAGATCTTGCAAGCCCTGGTGCCAGCAAAGACACTGATTACTTGACAGATCCAACCATGGTCTTCATCTCATGGGAAGGAGTGTTCCTAGATGAAGCTATGTCCCACTACCTGATATCTCTCAGCACGTATCCAGGAGGTAAGTTATCTCTTTTTACTAGTACCACTCCAGGAGGGGAGTAGAGTCACTCCAAAGTGTCTCTCGAAGCCTTTAATGGTAATAAAGCCGATTACGAGCTTTTGAGCACCTTTTAAGACGTTAGGTACGTCTCTTTACGTGTCTATCCTGTCGGTCGGAGAGGTTGGATGCGTTAATCACTAAGCATAGATGAATTGTAATTATCCAAGGAGTGAGTACAATCACTATTAGGTGTGTCCAAGTACATATCTTAAATGTGGGCTGAGTATACTTACAATAGGATTTTTAGAGCCTATTGAGATTGAACATTCCAAGCAACCAGGGTCTTCCAGCAGCTTCCATAGAGTTAGGACACCCACTGTTTTTTTTCTCTGAGTCTTGTCTACATCTAATAACCAGTCTCTGTTTTTAGTGCATTTTATTACTAAGTGCAACAGTACCTTAGAACAGTAAAGCAATAAAAGAATCGAAAAATAAACGTTTTTCCTATTCAGGTGAAGATATTCTCCGGTTCGCTGATCACATCTTCTCAGCTAATGGGTCTTTCGCCCAGTTCACTGGCCTGGACCTGCAAAGTGGACTACGTTACTACGGCAACGTACGGGCCGTCAACAAAGCTGGTTTGCACACACTGAAAAGCAGTGATGGATTTGTGGTAGACACCAGGAGACCAGACCCAGGCTTTGTGTTTGACGGAATGGGTAGGCAGTTGATTATTAGTCTCTCATTGTTGTAACCGCTGTATAGCGCCTGCAGAGCTCTATGAATGCTCTCAATTAAACATCCAGTATTTTTTCTGATGAAATTTCCCAGTAATTCTGACAATTTTATGAATCTCACAAAAATCTATATTTTAAGACATTTACGCCCAAAATACTAATTTTTACCATTGGTATATGCCAAGTGTACGGGGCATGTAATGGAATGCAAAAAAAGGTCATAGATATACTCTATCAATGAGGCCTTTCTACAATATAACACATTGTTTATGTTACATTGTAAAATCTCTTCCAGCTGCTAAATGTCCTTGGTACAGTTGCATCCATAAATAAACTTACACCTTTTCTTCAGATCTCCATGATGTAGAGTACCAGAACTCCAGCACGGTCATCTCAGCCTCCTGGCATGGCTTTGTGGATCTGGAATCCTACATAGACCACTATGAGTGGTGCGTTGGACAGACCTCTAACCCTGCAGATAATGGTATCCTGCGCTGCACAGATGTTGGAGTTCAGCTGTCTGCCTCACAGATTCTAGCTTTTCCTCTCACAGATGGTAGATAGCCCTATGAAGATGGTTTTAATCTATTCTACTCGTTTTTATCAAAGACTTAGCCGCAATAGGAAAAAAAACAGTGCTGCTGACCTCAACCACAAAAAGTGTTCATGGACGGGTTTTTACTTGATGTTTTTGAGCTACGGTTATTATTACGTTTTATTAGTTCGTTTATTTCAGGTTTAAGAGCCTCTATGCATCAAAATAAATTGTATCACCTATTGCAAACTTGACCAAATCACGTCAATATCACCATAGCGGTTTTGTCTACAATTAATAAAATAAATGCATGAGCATCGGGGGCTCCAGCAGGTTGAGACAAATCAATTTAACTCAGTAAAACAAGAGAATTTGCAAATGATGGATGACCCTTGTATTTTCTAAGGGAGAATGAAATAGGAGCTTTGAACTCCTTAAATTCTGTTCCTCAGGTATTCGGTACTACTCCAAGATCTCAGTTTTCGATGCAGCTGGCCTACAGTCCGTTTCGGTTGCTTCGGACGGATTTGTGGTGGACACCACTCCCCCTGTGCCTCTAGAGCACGTCCTTTTGGGGGATAATTTGATCCAGAACCCGTCCTTTGAAACGATGCAGGGAACTAGTGATACAGGTAATTTATTGTAGCTGTTTTGAATGTTTTAGTTAAAATGTATTAATATCGTAAAAAGAAGACGAATTCTAATTTGAACAGACCGTATGATTTACAAAAACTTGCCATATAGTTAAAAATGGGTCACAAGAGACATGCATAATTTATTTCAGCCTTTGCTGACCTCTTAAAACAATTGGTGTAAACTTTAATTTATCCCCTCAGATATAGATACTCCTGATACAACAAATACACACAACATTCAATCGACCTTTGAACCATCTACGACTTCGTCGATGGTGCTATCCTCTGAAGAATACGACAATGTTAGTACGCCTGACAGTTATCCCACTTCTGCTAGCAATTTAACCACTGAAGAAATGTCATACAATGCCGGTATGATGACTAGTGGCACACAGGGGGTACTTCCAGTGCCATGGGATATTGGATCTGACAGCCAGATGTCTGTTATCAGCTCTCGGAAAAATATTGCCCAGGATGGTCATTCTTTCTTGTCTCTCCACGGCTCCATCTTCCAACAATTTAACACAACTGAGGGCAGCCACTACCAGGTGGTGATTTTTGCAAGTCATGTTGTACCGTCCCACAATCCCTTGCTGAATCAGGAAGGTCAGGTCGAGGCACCTGGATTAAATCGTGTCTTCAGGCTGTATGACCGGCCAGCACATGGTCACTCAGACCAGAGTCTAAGCTCAATCGCATGGCATCAGCACAGGTTTTACTTCACAGCCAGTGAGGATGTTTCAACTTTGAAAATTTCATCTTTGGGTCAATCTAATGGAATTCTGCTAGATAACATTCAGGTGAGCAAATCAGAGTCATTGAAGAAAATTGCATGAAGGGAGAATAAATGAGGCCTGCAATAAATTCTGAGATGGTGTAAGACAGACTGATTCATCTACGGTATTTGTTCTGTGAATTTTTAAGTACATCCCCACGTTCAGGCCCATCGTGGATATCATCGATTAAAATGAAAAGCTATGCCGTAAATGTGGTTTCCCCTGACCTCACACTCACTTGTTGTTGAGTACAAAAGTAAACCTGTTCTCAACAAGATACCCAATCAAATTTGTTTCTTTTACAAATATGCTACCAAGACAAAGCCGTCCAATACCCATGACGTACTTTCATGAAGTTAAATTTTCGTTCTTGTGTTTCATATATATGCCACAGGTGAGGCAGATTACTACTGGACCGAGTACTGGTGATGGGTCGGTGGAAGTTCATACCCAGTTCATTCACAGTTGGTCGTCTCTCCATGCCGAGTGGCTTTTCATTGACGCAGAGAGCCCCATAGTGGACTACAGCTGGGCCATCGGTAGGCTATTGTGTCTTGGACCACGCTCTCCTGTTTTTTACTCAAACCAGAGTTTGAAAACATTTTTTACTGAAATTTTAAAGAATAAAAAACAATGCTGACTGGTTGATACACCCAGCAGCTTTAATACTATGGTAGTATCATTGCTTTAAATGTTTTCACTCATCAGGAACTAAAAGAGGTGGCACCCAGCTGCAAAGCTTCAGATCAGTGGGTACACAGACAAATGCTATCAACACTGGTCTGAGAATGGCGCACGGCTCCTTTGTGTATGTCACCGTGATGGCAAGAAATGCTGCTGAACTCATTGCCATAGCAACTTCAGACCCAAAACTGATTGACCTAACACCGCCCATAATTTATTTCGTCATTGACGGTGCAGGTACACAGGGTATGCCAATTCTGATTTCATTTCAAGGTTTCTAATATTGTGATTATTTTAGGCCCGTGAGAAGTGGTGACTGTAACTTAACTGATAATTATGTCCGATACTCGAAAGTTTACGTAGTTGCAATAGAGTGTGAAATAATTTCACAATTATGGTCAATTCTCTCATTTCAAATCTCAACTTAGTTTGCTATGTTTATGGTGTATTTCCACCTTGCATGCTCGTTGTACACAGCCTCCAGCAGATCAGGACCATTGAACCCAGTTCCAACCACAATTTGTTTTCAAGACGTCGTAAGAGGCTTGATTATGAAGTGGTCTCGTTCACTCTTAACAGATATTGACTTCACTGCTGACGATTCTGCTCTCACCTTCAGTTGGTCAGCATCCGATCCCGAAAGTGGAATTGACCACTGTACATGGGCAGTGGGTAGGTAGACATTCCTCATATCTCTCACCCCTCATGTTGGGTTAATCAGTGAATTGAAATCTGATGCAACACGTTTGCTATGTCAGATCGATCACACCTCATCTTGACGACCTTCATCGGATGTTCGACCTTATCGACGGGACGCATCTTGCTATCAGAGTGGAGAGTTAACAAGTGGGAATCTCTTTTCAGTGTTTCTTGCATGTTTTCGATTACAGACATAAAAAATTCACTTCATATTCCTTGCTCCTTCTACAGGATCCAAGCCCAGATTTGAAGACATCCTACCGAATTCACAATCGCCCAATGGCTCTTCTACCATCACTACCAGTCTGTCCCAGAGTATGGTTGAAGGCCAGCGCCTGTACGTCACTGTCACATGCTACAATCACGCCGACAAGTCGTCATGGAAATCATCCGACGGGGTCACCATAGTGACAGTGCCCCCTACTGCATCAGCAGCCGTTGTCAAAGTGAAGACTGTATCAGAGACTCAATACGAAACACGAGATGGGTACCAGTCACAGACAGACTCCCTCAAAGTGTCGTGGAATGGATTTAGTGATCCATTTGGAATTCAATTCTTTGAGGTACGTGCGCAAGATGCTGAGCGAAACACCCGTACAAAGCCTCTGGAATACTTTTTCAATCTGCACAAGAAACATATATGCGTAATATGGTTCTCAAGATGGAACAGTACATTTTCCTGAGTGAGTGCGTAAACCTCATTTAATGTCATAGTCTGCATGGCATTGAACCAAAGTAGACCTGTTGGGCAATTGCCGCCTATAATGCCGGATAATTCTGATTAGAAAAATGACTCAAGACATGGATATCTTAATGCGCCTTTGTGTATGATCCTACATTTTGCAAACATATGAGATCTAAAATATTTGCCAGGTTTAAATTCAAATAATTTTTGTATTTACACCCCGAACGTTCTAAGGATTCTTCAGTAAGCTGTTGGTGAGTATAAACAAGAATACAGGAAAAAGGTTGGAAATGCACTCTTTGCTGATAATAAATCAGCAGCTGACCATGTTTCCCTGGTTAATTCTCTTCTTTGCCCAGTGCCAACTTACAGGACCGAATACCCTCACATCCTGGAGGACTTGTGGATCCACGTCAGAGACCCATCTTGATTGGTCAGGCCTCGGCTTGATTGACGACGCCACCTACAGCCTGTCAGTCAGAGCTGTCAATCATGCTGGTTTAATCAGCCAGGCTGTCGCTGGAAATTTCACTGTGGAGTCTTCCGAGCCTGTCGGAAGAGGTAAGGGGCTCAAGTGTCGGTGTCCTAGCTTGACAAAACCTGAAAATAATCAATTAGATCTTTGGGTAATTTTAAGATTTCACTCAGAAAGCCTGATTACCTTCACAAAGTTAAAATGATTGAAATCCAACAACCCCAAATAAATAAGCCTTTCAGTTGCCAATACGCACTTAGTTGATGTATACTTGGACTATTGGGACTATTGCCCCGATCAGTATTCGTCTGAGGCAGACCAATTTGTGAACCACACATTTTCCCAGCAATGTGTAATCCCACTGTCAAACTCACCCCCAGATTTTAAACTTGTTTTCCAACCAACAGCTCCAAGCCTGATAAGATTTTCCTGGTTGGGTGACGGAAAAGTCGATCTTGCCTGGGATGGCTTGTTCTCCAACCCCTCCTCTTCCTCCTTGGTGTACGAAGTATCCCTTGGCACCATCCCAGGAGGTAGTGATATTATGCAGTGGGTGGAGACCATGGAGACTGGTATGCGTGTCTCCCCGTTGGTTCCCTATACCAACTACCACTTCTCACTGACAGCTATCAATGCAGCTGGCCTGTTTCAGACAGTGAATAAAATCATCAGTGTGTAGCAGACTTACAGCAAAATATGGCTACTATGTGTAGTGTAATTGACAGTTCTGAGTTTGAGGCTACGTGGTGCATTTCTTAAGTCTTTCCTTTCATTAAAGTACTTACTCAGACATCGTGTGAACTATACACAGATTGTTGCCAAAGAGGAATCATAAGCATTTAGTGGTGATTGAAGCAATTATTTTTATGGGCTCGGTGATGTTGTAACTCATTAATTTGGGCCAAACATGTTGGTAATATGTCATTGCAAATTGAAATGAATGAGTCACAAGAACAAATTTCTTGAAACTACATACTGCTTACAATTACACAGTATAGGAGACTTTTTAAATTCTCTAGTGTTATTCAACATACTTTGGCTCAAGAAAGTTACGTTGAGGCTTGTTACCCACAAAAATGCTAGGATGTCGTTGCAAAGACGGGCATCCTATTATGTTAGTATGAGCTGCTGTGCATGGAAATTATAATTGGCCGTGAAAAATGTAGGTTTGAGACAGCCTCCGAACATAGGTGAATATCCCAGGGGGATGGGATGTATATCCCCTCATTTTTGGTCGGGGTGGGCTATTTAATTAACCTTCCCCTATATTTCCCTTGAATAGTAAGAAAAACATTAAAACGAAGTGACAAATTTTGCACTTTCCAACAACTAAAATGTATTCTACACTAATAAAAAAAGGACAACAAAGAAGCCATAGATATGCAATTCTGACATACGATTTTGCAGGAATTTTCAGATACACATCTGTATCATGAATATTATCACTGTAAAATAATGTCTTATGGTGTCGGCATCCCCTTCCCAGGCCCGCTTTTCAAATGTTTATGGCCCGGCAATTTATCCCCAACGTTTCCAATCCTCCATCCTCCCAAGTTTCGGCACAGATTTATGCCACTAATTAGGTGTGATATGTTCGTGACGTAGCCAGACAATGTCTATATAAAGCGCTTTTGGGAATACTTGGCAGATGTTTTAAGCAAGTTACTGTGAATAAGTCTTCGATGAGGGGGGATTTTAAGTTGATTAACTCAGTACCACTAGTGTATGCATGTTTTGGGCTGGGTTGGGGAATTAAAATTACTCCAATTTGCAATCTGTCAGCCCAAAGGAATCCTGTTTTCTACCTCTACTCAAATCCGTCCTCCCAAAAAACAGTATTGTACCATTTCTAAAATAAAACTGCTTTCATTCTCTAAAGAGACAGCATATCTTCTTGAGACCAGATGGAGTATCGTGTCTTTCCTGCCTCAGGCCGATGGATACACCACCAACCAAACATTCATTCATTTAATACCCACTATAGGTCACGTGACTTAGAGGACGCTATCAGTCTACTTGTTGGGGAAACTGCACTGGAGGTCACACCAATACTGTGGAGTGGCGCTTGCCAGAGCAAAGCTTATTGTTCGTGAATGAATCTAAAGTTTGAAAGGGTTTAGTTTAATTAACAAGGATATAACAAGTGCATGAGTATCGTGATATTGTAATAAATTACTATGAATTGCTACTGCATTGTGTAACGTTGTCTTGCCCTTCCTAAAAAACATGCAGTCTGTTGATGGCTGCAAGTGTCTGACATCTATCTTCCACTTTACCTTCCCCTTTCGTTCCAGCGCCGGTGTCTTCAAACCAAAGATAGGGTATGACTCCTTTTCACTTTTTTGTTCGTGAAAGAGACACGCTTCCTCCTAAAGTGGGATCACGTTTCAACAATGAAGTAAAAGAAGTACATAGAATGATTCATTCATATGTTTATATTCATTCATCATTTATTAGTCCATGTAAAAACAGAGAAATTTCCCATCCATTTGTATATTACAGCAATAAAAAACTAAATCACCTTCCTTCGTACATGGTATTTATTTATTTTCATTTGTTTATTTTTTTTATTTCCTTTTTTTCACAAAGTAAAGTTTACATAGGAAAGAAAGTAACCAGTTAACTTATTTATCGAATATTAGTACCAAACTCTAAGAAAACAGAACCAGCAAGTAAAAGCAAGAATGTTGAGACCTTAAGAGTATTAAAGGCTTTGGATCCCCCCCAGATCATGTTGAATAAGCCAAAGCCGTTTTTGCTTTTGAATCCCCCTCCGCGCTCTGACACCAAAAGCTGAATAGACCGCTGCAGGAAGCCCCTTCCCCCGCGGGCACGTAAAGGTTAACAGAAAAAGAAAACATTTAGTTCACGTGAAGTATTTCGAAATTAATAAATATGCAACCATTTAAATAAAAATCATACATTCAATGTTTACCACATTAAATGTGACCCAACAATGAAAAGGGAGATGCTGCGTTTCCCTGCCCATAAAAACAACCCCGTTCTGGCCGTTTGCGCTCTCAGGCTGATGATGTACAGTACGTACATGTACAGTGTAAATGCACGTTGCATGTTGCACACAGTACATGCAGTTTCGCAAGCTTGCAATAGATCACGTTGTGCCCAATTAGGCTTTACCTATAAAGGCAAACACTGTGCTAGTTATGACTTCGTCTTTTAATGTCTACCTTTAACCGAGACAATGTTTGTCTGTGGGCCAAGCTACATCGAACACAACGCTGTCTAATGCATATGGTGTTCTGAAGCAGAATTCCAAACATCGTGTGTGTGAGTTCAAACGTCGTGTTTGTAAGGTTGAACATAGTGTTTGTGAGTGATCAGGGTCAATTTCATGGATCATCACACACGCGACGTTCAAACTCACAATCACGATGTTGCCTGTCTGTAGAACACCATAATTGCAAGCGTGCGATATTGCATGTACTGTGTGCAATCATGCAATACTCATGTACACTGTACATACAGGCGTTCTGCCGATAACGTCATCCAATCCGCCTGGGCGCACAAACGGCCCAAAAGGGGAGTTTTTGTGGGCGCGGAAACGCAAGATCTTTTTATTCATTTTGGGGCAACGCTTAATGGGATTTACGATGTTTTTGAAGTTGTTACGTATTTATTGTTATTTTGAAATACTTCACGTAAACTAAATGTTTTTATTTTTGTTAACCTTTAACACATGCTCTTACCGAATACCACAGCTCTTCTCCACAGCCACTCTAAATGTTGCAGGCCCAGCACTGAAGCAGCCATAATTGTTGCAGCCATAGCAGTGAATCAACAGTCTGAAAACTACAGTGAATACACCGCACGCGTGATAAGAAATGCATTGGGTGTCCGAAACGTGTAATATAATCGTTCCATGGCTACGGGTTGCACACAGAATCCACACAGTGGTTAATCTGCCGATCAATGAAATAAAGTCTTTTGAACGTAAGCTGGGGTTATTATCATAATGGGCACCACCCAAAACCTTTCTGAAAATGGTTGAACCAAGGCGCTCGTCCTAGTTCAGCTAATTTGCATATAAAGCTGTCTGCGTAAAGTCGCTGTTGGGCTTGATTTTCAACTGCAAAAGTACATTTGTACAAGTACATGTGTATTGTACATTACATAGAGTACACGAGCTCGGCAAAGCGGTGCGGCTAATGACCAACGCTATATACCCACGCGCATATAATGGAGATCAGTGCGAGAGATGTAGGACTTTCGTGCACGCACGCCTGTCGCACATAGAACAGTCTGTTCTTCAGGCGGACAAACTCTAGGTCTCCCTTGCAAAAAGACAGGTACAGTCATTGTAGCAGAATAGTTACCGCCTTCGCGAGAACTTCGATACGTGACATCCTGGTTTTAGTTTCATTTCCACGAACTAACTAGCCTTTCGTCAAGACTTTCGTTGCTGTGTGTGTGTAACCGCATCCGAATCCGTGGTGGGGGTGGGGCAAGTTTACCCCTGCTTCCCCTCCCCGCTAGATATGCCGATGACAAAACTCTTTGATGCAAAACCCCCAATAATAATACATAATTGTTGCACATACGTGTGTGGATGTGTTTTCGTAATATGCTTGTAAATGACCCGCTAAACCACAGCATAATCATTAACGTTTATTCTTTATTGACCAAAACTTTGCCTCAATGCAGATATTGAGTATGTGTTATGAACAGAGGTGCGAAACACATATACGCCCAAGTGTGACTTTAATCCATTGAACAGAGCTTTGTCTTGTAATTACCATTCGTTGCAACGTCATGTCTGTCCGTCAGAGGAAATTCGTAAAAAAAAATGGAAAATCTAAAATACAGTGAGCTCCTGTATTTTTATTTTCTTGGCTTTTTAGAGTTAATATGCCTTTAACGACAGAACGAGACATGTGTTCTTGTGTTTATATCCAGCACGATATCGTAAATGCATGCCAGCAATCGACCCATGGAAGACAATTTATCAAGACTATCTTTTTGTGTTGGCCATTGTATTGAAACGCTGTATTTTTTCAAATATCAGTGTGTCAGTATCCGTGTTCAGTAAATCCTTGTGCTATATTAAAATTTACAGTTCAAGTAAGATGTAACAGATAACTCCAAGGGTGTATTTTCAATCAAGTAGATGTGTTTCAGCGGTTGAGCCAACCCACCTTACCAACCTTACATGTTTGAAGTTTAATCCACAATTATTTAGCAATGATGTATGCCTCACAGAAAGATCCATTCATGAAAAGAAATAGTTGTTTCAATCCATAATCTTGATCGCTGTGAATTTCAAAGTAGCAAAGATGGCTGTATCTCATCTTTCTTACAGTAATACCCAATGATTTAAAAATGTTTAGCTTTAAACGTCGCATCTTTATTTGTCTGGGTACAAAAATAACCTAAAGATCATTCCTTTTTCAGTACACGTAATACACCATTATCTAGGTTTCGATTATCATTATTATAGTCACAAATATCATGAACACTCCAAGTTAAAAAAAAAAGGATTTGCACTTGTTCTTCCATTCCTCACCAAAAAATGCAGGCTTTGTTACAACAGTTTAATAAATTTATATCCCACAAATGTTTACGTGACAGAAAACACTCTTTGAGCGGCAGCAAAAAGAGGATGAAACCCTCATGGACTTTTCTCATGCGCTTATGCGAATGCATGATAGAATTTTAGAAGTTGCAACTGAGGCAGAGAGAACCGCTTTGAAGGGTTTGCGGGATAGTGTTCTGATTAGTCAGTTTGTGGCAGGTGCAAGGAATCAGGGGGTGAGGCTCGAATTAAGGCCCTTTGAACTGGCCAAGCCTAGTCAGAGTTTTGCTGAAATGAGGGATGCAGCCCGTGAGCTTTTCAGGGATCTTGAGGGGAACCCCCGTGGTTCCCGACGTGGGGCAGGTGTCAACCACTTGGTAGCTGAAAGTGGTACGGATGATGAGCCAGTGGCCACTATCAGTATTAACTCAGTTGTTAGCGAAGATACCCAGTTGAAGAAGATCCTGCAACAGCAGGAAAAGATTCTTGGGTGCATGCAGGTACAGCAGGAAGCTCTATTTAAGCAACAAGAGCAAATCACAACTCTAATTCAGGCTGTAGCTAGCAGGGGTGAGGTTGGCCCTAGGCCAGGCCAACAAGGTACAGTAGGGCAACAGGGCAAACCAATTCGTTGCTTTTATTGTAAGCGCCCAGGTCATGTGAAGCAGGAGTGTAAGCTTCGCCTTGCCCATGAAAAGGCTAAGGGCAGTACCATGCATGAACAAGCAAAAGGGGAAAACAAGGACAACCAGGCGGTAAACCGGACCCCTCTGCCACTGTAGGCCGAGTGACAGAGAGAGAGTCTGGTAAGGCCTCACCTGTCGAGGGGGTTGTAGAGAAGTCTTGTGAGGATATTTTAAGCAGTCTAGTTAGGGAGAGCCCAAAGGCTCAGATAACTTTGGCTGGGGTGTCGACCACATGTGTCCTCGATACCGGGGCAGAGACTTCTCTAGTTAGCTCCTCCTTTTATAGGGACCACCTTGCAGGAAAGCTTAGTGAAGTGCAGCCTCTAGGTACATACCTGCGTGTGTATGGGGCAGGAAATAGTGAGGTACCAATCGAGGGGTACATACGTGCTCAATTAGTTGTACACAACCGGACTATTGATGGACACTTCCTATTGGTGGGGGAATTCCCCAAAGGTGAGGCCGGAAACCACAAGTCTGTGCCAGTGTTGTTGGGATGTAATATCTGACCTGGACCCAGTGTAAAGGATTCAGTGACAGTGTAGTCACCAAATCTTCACCTCTTGGCACTGTAAAATTGACAATAACCGCATAGGTTGGGATTTATAAGTTTGGTTTTGGCCAAATTAAAAAAAAAAGAACAAAACACTTTTTGTCTGTTCCAATTTTTTTTACCCATAACAGTCCAGGCTCATTATTGCCGTACAGCGTCAGTATCCATTTGCAAGATACCCAGCAACTTCTAATCAAGACTTGACCCTTTGTTGTTAACTACAGTATACATTTCGTAAAGCATGCAGTAATCTAGAAGGTCAAGAAGTATTGCGAAAGGCTGACAGTAAGACCTGTCGTGAAAAGTGACAAACAAGACACGTAACCCCTTGAAAAGAATAAATTGGCCTGATCACATCATTCGACTGTAAGGAGTCCAGAGTGACAATTATAATCTGGGTTGCAGTATTTCGAGCAGGGTGCAGATACAAACAACTTTGGGATGAAGTATATTCAGGCAACTACTTTCGGATTAAGAAATATCTTGAGACTAGGAAATATTTATGTTACACCCTGTTTCTTATACAGGTATCAGGCGATATTTACAATGCTACATGACATTTTACTACGGATAAAGAAAAATCTTCAGACTGGCAAATATCTACCTTACATTTTGTTTTTTGTACAAGAGCATTTGAAAATAATGGACGATACGAATTGAAGGGAACCACAGGCATACATTTATCGTCACAAAATGTCGGCACAAAAGCACCGCGAGGTCTACCTACATAATCCAATGAGAAATGCCCCTGTAAAGGCAATGGATTTTTCTTAAACACAACTTTGCACCTTTGTACTTTTTTTCAACGTGTGGAATCTCCTTTACACTCTTATCTGGCTAAATACATTGGAAAGTGCTTTTCAAAAATTTCCTGGACGAATGAGGGCGCTGTTGCCGTGATGTCAGTCAGGGAACAAATAGTTCAGTGCATGGGTTTTTGGTTCAACTTGTGAAGCAAGAATTTACTTACTGAAAACATTTATGGGAAAGTGATTGATGCTTGCTTAATGCTGTGCGCAACAAGGCATCAATAATTAAGAGAAAATTTACTCCACCAAAACCTAAAAACATGCAGGACTTTTTGTGTACAAACAAATGGAGGCATTCTACCTGAGAGGACATCACGGTGTTACTTATGAATATGCAAATAATATTAGCATAAAATCAATAAAGGCAGTAATATACCCTAAGAAACAGTAAAAAGCTAAATATGAATATTGAATATATATTTGAATGTCTGTATTAAAACAAATGATTGCAAATACCTTTTAATCTTGCATGATCATTTTTTAAAAAATTGAAAAGTTTTGATGAAATGTAATACATGCATGGATTTAATTACTCTTCTTAGAAAGTTAGCTGCACTACAAAAGCTTTCACATTGTCATTGTGCAATTACATATAACAACCTTCATAGCAACTACTGTACGGTTTACATTACATTGAAAGCTTTACACCAAAATGTAAACCAACTGCTCTCACCATGATGGATGTGTTAAACTGGTGATAAACAACTCCAGGATTCAATACTTTCCATAAGACATTTGAAGCCATTGATACTTCGAGTTGATCACCTTGGCCTTTCCAACGGATGTTAGGAGAATTCCTGCAAAATCCTTAGGAAAGGCCTTCCTAAAACAGTCGGTGCACATGTGCTTGTATCCTAATTTTCGAAGGTAAGTGATGAGCCACTCACCCTTTACGATTGAAATTGACTGCCCCACCTCGGCGTTAACTGCCGCACCCTCAGGACCTCCACCTGCCCCAACTTTCCCCGAAATGGTGACAGTTTCTGTTCCCAAGGCCTGCTTCAAAAATGCGTAGGTATGCTGACCCATACCGGCCACCACCTCGCAAACGAGTATCACGTCACACCCCGCACACCTACAGTCACGTTCTTTGCTGTTTGGGCTCCATGTGTCCAGTCCGGGTATTGCGTTTGCAGCACCCATCTTAGTCTGATTTACACGCTAATACGGTTCTCAAGAACTCAACAGCAATGATAAGAACTGGTAATCTGTAGACAAAAATGTAAAAAATACGCTTGTCGGTGATTATTTCCAGATTTCAATTGTTGGAGAGGTTAAAACCATTTTTTCCAAACAACCTCTGCAAAGAGTCACTTCCAAACACCACAGGACTAAAACAAACACACAGAGACCACAACAGGCCTGTTATTTTTAGTTCCTAATCATCTAATTTGATAAGGTTTCAGTTTTAGAACAATTGAAAATGCTAATGTAAGATCGAAGAGCTGTTTATACCTCACGTATTATAAACACAGTTAGGCAAATGCAGTAGCGCGTCCTGAGTTCTGGAGTCCCTATGTGGAAGTGCGTGAAATGATTTTTTTTTTCAGAAAAGATGGTCCAGACTGTTTCGTCATGACGAAATCACGACACCCACCATGAAAGGTTTTGGTACCGTTTTTAAAATACAAGCACCTTAAATTCCTAAAAAAAAAATGAAGTAAAAATGAAAAAAGAGTCCTGCTGAATATTCCACTGGATATAAACGTTACTGGTATCAATGGAAATTGTTGGAATGCCCAGAATCAGACGGTGTTGGTGTTTCTTCTCCAGAATTTCTGTTTCTAACGAAGCATTGATTACCATGACCAAAACCTTAATTAAACAAAGCTAAAAAGCGATATATAATCACTTTAATCCATGATAGGTTTGACTAGTATAAGCATATAGCTATGTTTTATTCTGAATTTTAAGAAGCCATATGGCCCATTTTTAGAAACAAATGAATTAACAACACTAACCAACGTTTTGATCCTGAGCTTCAGAAGAATCGCGAAATCTTGACTTCAGCTATCTGGGGAACTGCGGGAAAACATTATGTCATTATGATTAAGGTAAAATAAAATAAAAATAGCAATCATATAAGCCCACAAAACAGCAAATCATGAATTAACCATTTTCTTGGAAATTGTAGTTAATTTTAGGTTTTTTGGGATTTAAAATAAAGTTTTCTCGTCTTAAGTGATTTTCACGGGTTACGGGGGATCTACAGTTTCACGTTCTACTCATACATTAAAACCACTAGTTTTTCACGTGAATAAAGCTATCAGCGTGACTCTGTTGAAAATGGCGTCATAATGACTACTTATTCACTCAGCCCTTCAAACGGCAGTTCATAAAGTAGGCCAATGTTTCGTTTTTGAAACAACAATGATTTTCAGTTATTAAGTTACATGAGTTGTCATAAATTCTCATCTAAACTACTTCTTGAGTCATTGTTCCTGCTCCGTGCCTAGTATATGACCAGAAAACTTGGCAACTCACAAAGAATCAAAAACACGTGTACGCAAAAGGCCTGAAATTTACCTTTTTTTCGTGCCAATTTGAGCATGAACCAAACTTTTCAGTGAGGGATATTTATATTCAGCCAAATTTCACAACAGTGGGAAGCCTAGCTAGCAACACAATAACTGAACATG